GACCGCGGCTGAAGCCTGGCCCCCGCGCTGGCGCGTGCCCTGTCGTGATGGCTGGAGCACTTTGTGCAGGAAGCACGTGTCCTGCGTTCTGCCTCCGTGAAACCTACGTCTTTCAGAAATTACCTTGTTAGCACAGCCGTTTGTTACCCCCAAATGTAAACTCCCCAAGAGCATCCTGTCCCCCGGATCCAAAAATGCCTGGTCACAGAAGCCCCAGTGGTTTGCTGAGTGACTGAATGACCTCCATGAGCTTCCACCTCTGTCTCAGGACCTTTTTACACTCAAAAATTACTAGGACCTCAAGAGGCTTTTGATTGTGGAGAATGTATATTTGTTAAGAAATTAAAACAAAAAAATTTTTAAAAATTTATTTGTATATATTTTTACAGACTTGGGAGGGGGGGCGGGAAGAGAGAGAGAGAGATTGATTGAGATTGGTTGTCTCCCACACACACCCTGACCAGAGGTGGAACCCACAACCTGGGTATGTGCTCCGACCGGGAATCAAACTCGCCATTCAAGCCTCGGACATGATGACGGATGCTCCAACCAACGGAGCATGGACCAGAACAATGTATTAATTCATTTAAAAATATCTAATAAATGTGGAGAGCAGCTACAGTGTTTGGACAGGTTCAAGCCTCGGACTGATGAGAGGGCACAGTCCTCTCATGGCCACGTGCAAGTCCCAGCTTGGAAGGCAGGGCCCTCCCAGCACAATTATAGCCAACAGCTGTAGTTGTGAGCTTGAACCGTGGCCCCACGTGCCTGAGTGATGTGGGCTTGATAGAGTTCAGGTGCATGCAGTTGAGTAGGATCGAAACCCACGAGAATGTTGTAAACATCTTGACCACGTCCTTACTTTGCCTCGTAGCATCTGCTATAAAATAAAGACATAGCTCGTAGCCCATGGCGCTGTGTCTCCATCAGAGGAGCAGCATCCCGCAAGACCCAGCTCATTCTCTTGTCTGTCTTTTCTCCATCCTTCACCGCCCCCACTCAGGTTCACCCTTGGCCCGGAGCGCCACAAATAAACCCATTACAAATTATCTTAAGAGCAATGACCACGCATATCCTGTAGCTTCAGGAAAACACTGGAGAGAGAGAGAGAGAGAGAGAGAGAGAGAGAGAGAGAGAGAGATGAGAGAAATAGCTCTGAGTGTTGTTATGCAAATAGTCCTGACCTCTGAAAGGTTCCCAGGAACCCTGGGGCCACTCTGTGAGAACCTTTAATTTAGCTTAACCTCCTTTTATATGTAGGAGGAATGAGGTCCAGAGAAGTAATGGTGACAGTTTTGAAGTCAGGAGTCTATTGTTAGCCCAGGGTCATATAATTACGTTTTCAGTGCAAAGCAGACATCTCTGTTTAAAAGACAAGAAAGCGGAGGCACAGAGAGCCTCAGGAGACACCTGACCACCACCATCTGCTGGTGGACGCCTGCTGTGTCAGGGTTGGTATTCAGGGCCTCCCACCTCTTGTTGGACCTCCCTCATCCCCTCCTCTCCTGATGCCAGGTCTTGTGACCAAGTCGGGGCTAACCGAGCTCAAGGCATCTGGCAGAGAAGACAAGGATGCATAAATACATAAAAAAAAACATAAATATGGACACAGGGTCGCATTGGACTAGATGCTAATGTGTGTCGCCCATTGAGTGTGCTGCTCATTGAGGGACAGTGTTCCTGAGGCCTGATGCATAAGGGAAACATCGTGGAGGCAGTGAGGAGGCCCCGAAATGAGTGAAGAAAGCAAACTTCCGCGGCTGTCAGCTGGAGCAGCGAGTAGTGGCGGCAGACACAAGTCTGACTCCACCAACTTTATGAGCCAGACAAGAACCCCTACAGACAAACTCAGATGAACCACAGTACATGTTCTGTTCATATTAAGTGACCACATATCTAACTAGAGATGGCTATAAATGCTAGATAACTAATAATAAAAAAAAAAGGTTGGGACCAGATGAGGATAGAATGCAGTTGGAAAGAGAAAAGGAGCCGAACTCAGATGAAAGAATGAAGGATTAGAGGATGGTGAAGGACAAGAAATGTACATGCCTGTGCAATGAAAAAAAGCAAGTACTGTTTATAGACTGTCCAGAAATTCCTATATATGTACAGGCAAACACATAGTACATGAATTTACTTAACATTTTTAAAATTGTGGCAAAATACACAAAACATAAAGTTGACTATCCTAACCATGTTTAAGTTCACAGTTCAGTAGTATTACGTATACTCACATTATTATGCAACCAATCTCCAGAACTTTATCATCTTCTAAAACTGAAACTCTACACCCATTAAACAACTCTCCACGTCCCCCTCCTCCCCTTGGCAACCACCGTTCTACATTCTGTTTCTGAGTCTGGCAACTCTAGGTATCTCATATAAGTGGAATCATACAGAACTTGCCTTTTTGTGACTGGCTTGTTTCACTTAACATAATGTTCTCAAGGTTTATTCATGTTGTAGCAATTCCTTCCACATGTCAATTTCCTTCCTTTTTAAGGTTGAATACTAGTCTATTGTATGAATGTTCAACAATTTGCTGGCTCATATCACATCAATTAATTGTTGTTGTTTTAAGATTTTTAATTGATTATTTATATGTTTTTATTGATTTTAGAGAGAGGAAGGGAAAAGGAGAAGAGAGGTAAAAACATTAATGATGAGAGAGAATCCTTTGATCAGCTGCCTCCTGCACGCCCCCACTGGGGATTGAACCCGCAACTTAGGCATGTACTCTGACCTGAAATAAAAAATGAATTCCTGGTTCATGGGTTGATGCTCAAACACTGAGCCACACAGCTCAGGCTCAATTAGTTTTTTTGTGTGTGTGTTTTTAAAAACATATACTTTTATTGATTTCATAGAGGAAGGGAGAGGGAGAGAGAAATAGAAACATCAATGATGAGAGAGAATCACTGATCAGCTGCCTCCTGCATTCCCCCTACTGGGGATCCAGCCCGCAACCCAGGCATATGCCCTAGACCGGAATCAAACCTGGGACCCTTCAGTCCACAGGCCAATGCTCTATCCACTGAGCCCAACCAGCTAGGGCTTGATTAGTTTTCAATATGAATTTTTCACATGTACTATTCTTTAGCCTGTTTGTTTGTTTGTTTGTTTTGTTTAATAGTACTTCTATGACATCTGTCCACATAAACACTTATATATCTACATTATTTTTTAATGGCTATGTAGTATTCTACCACATACTTTTCCTATGATTTATTTCCCTGGGAACCCTTTGAGACACATTTAATTTTTTATAATGTCTAAAAACAGTGCTGCATATATTTCCTTGCACATGTGTAAGAGTATATCTGTAAACCAAATTTCTAGAAGTACAATGCCTGGGTCAGAAGCTGTATATTTTTCATTTTGATAGACATTGCCAAAAGATCTTTACAGAGGAACATAGACTTTACACTTCCAACCAGGGATTTTAGGGGCAAATTTCAAAAGAGGTTGTTTTTTAAAGCAGGAATAATTTCTCAGAAGGTCCTCACACACTGGATATATAAATGGGAAAGACTTGTTATATTATTTCAGCTCTGATGCTCTATTGTTGTTTACTTGTAATGCATGAGGTCTTGTCTTCCTAGCTAGATGCTAAGAGCCTCAAGGATGGACATAATTTATTATGCCCAACCCCACTTCCACATTAGTTTGGTCCCATGAACTAGCCAGCACTTATTAGATTCATAAATGGAAAAATGACAGTTTTTTAAAGTTCAAAATAAAGAGGTCTTAAGTCCTTTTTTCTTTTCTATTTTTTTTTTTTTACAATAAACATGTATATTTATTTTAAATCAGTTTGGTACATTCTGCTTTTCTTGTGTAGCTGTTCAAAGTGAAATGCCTGTAGTCACTCAATTCTGACATCAACAATAATAACAGCCACTGATTTATTTTTGAGCATGTACTATGAAATAGATATTGTCTTAAAATGCTTGGCATGTACCATCTCACTCAAAGATTACCAAATGAGAAAGCTATTCCTCTTATCTTCAGCGTTTCTCAACCTGTGGGTCGCGACCCCTTTGGCGGTCGAACGACCCTTTCACAGGGGTCGCCTAAGACCATCCTGCATATCAGATATTTACATTATGATCCATAACAGTAGCAACATTACAGTTATGAAGTAGCAACAAAAATAATTTTATGGTTGGGTCACAACATGAGGAACTGTATTTAAAGGGCCAGAAGGTTGAGAATCACTTCATTAGGGGAAAGTGAGGCACAATGAGGTTAACTGACTTGCCCTAGGTCATATGGTAAAAGTCACAGGTTTCCACAGAGAATTCTAATTTTTTTATTCTGAGGTCTGTGCTTTTCATTTCTGCACCATATTATCATGTCATATAAAATTCAACTTAATCTAATTTACCATCCATGCAATGATCAACCATACCGCTACCATTTCCCATGGAGCTGTCTGAGATTTGAATTGGGGTAAAGTGACTAGATGTTTC